GATTTTCACCAAAGTGAACAGAAAATCTCCCCCTTAGAGCCAGCATCCTGAAACCAGGCTTCTAGTCTCCCCACTGGGAAGAGCCCCATCTGTGTTCAATGAAGCCACCGCTGCTAGCACTTCTGGGGCAGCAGCACCAAGAATCGAGATAAAGGCCCGGAAAGGGTCCAGCAAGTGCACTTGGTGCTGTTTGAATGGCTGCTCTGTCTCCTGGGTCTGTAAGCTTTTTGCCTTTCTGTTTTCAATTATGGGGAGCGATGGAGTGTCATTGCAAGGGGTGTAGGTCACTACAGGGGTTGAGCCCCCAGCAAATCCCCAACACACAGAGGCTTGAAAGAACAGAACACTGTTCCAATCAAAGAGTGAGCCTCGGGAAAGGGGATTTTTAGCCATCCCAGTGCTCAGACTGGAATGTACCATTTTGATATCTGATCTCCCTGTGGACCCAGTGTGAGCGTATTCTAAACTTTTAATATCTCTGCCTTCTATGAGATTGAGGCCTTTTTGCCTCATATGGCTGTTGGTGATGCGTTCTTTCTTGTTGTCTGCCGTCGTCTTGTATGATTATCTGTTTAAGGAAACTGGGGTTTAAGGACATCCGAAAATAGTAATGGGATTGATGATGACCTGGGGATGGGCGGGAGAGGGAGAGGGAAATGGGAATCAGCCTCAATGTGTAAATGAAGAAAAAATAAACCCTCCAAAGGATGGTGATGATGATTGTACAGCCCCTTTTTGATAGGATTGAACCATTGTTCAGTCCTTTGTATGATATATTGATTCTAGCTCAATTAAAAAATAATAAGAGACAATTTAGAAGGAAAAGGGTGATCAGCGGGACCTTCCAGCTGCCCGAAGACCTCCCGTGGATCACAGTGGTCACGTTGATAGAACTATCTTGTGCTCCTTCTCTTTTGTCCTATTAAGCTCTTTCATATTATTCTTAGTGTTGAAGTTGGACCCGGTCATTGTTTTTCCATCCTGAAAAGCCCCTTGCTCCTGTGGACTTTTTTACCCTTCCTGCCATTGGCTCTATTTCAACCACTGATTGAAAAATAAATTCCTGGTGAGAACCCCTGGTGGGGAAGGAGATTGTTCTTGGGTTGGTAATGGGCCAGGCCGAGCAGAGCGAATGGAGCTGGGAACTTAGACCCCCAGCTTAGTAGGGTCTCAGCAGCACATAGTTGGCAAGGTCTAAGCAGAGGCAGGAAGGAGTTGTGAAGTAGAAGGACTGTGGGGACAAAAAATTGGTGTGTTGGCCGGAAAAGATACCAAAACACATCCTCAACCACTGGAGAATACCCTGTAGCCACCAGATAAAATGATCCTGTTATTAATAGGAAGATGGGCTTCGTGCCTCACTTTGTCCTGACAGAGCCCACAGCCAAGTTCCAGTGCTTCCTGTCTCCCTCCTCGGCTGGTACCCTGGGTTCGTTGTTGGACTGCTAACCACAAGGTTGGCATCTCAAGCCCACCAGCTGGTCTGTGGGAGAAAGTCGAAGCTACCTGTTCTGTGAAGATTTACCGTTTTGGAAACCCCATTTAGGATTGTTGTGAGCTGGAACTGACTCCTAGGCAGTACGCTTGGTTGGGGTGCCCTGGGAGTTAGGAAGATGAAGAAATAGAGCAATCAGAGGGGTGCAGTTCAATCACTGAAGGTTCATGGGCTGAACGGTTAAATCGCGGGCTGAATGGTTAAATCGCAGCCAGAAAAAAAATGTCTGTGTAGTTGCGGGCTTCCCACCTGTTTTACTTTCCAAGGCTTGAGTGTTTCCAAAGTTCCGAGTGGTTGAGAAGAACTGTGAAGCATCTTTGTTTGTTAAAATTTCTTCCAAGGCACCTGTGGATGGACTTGAACCTCAAGCCCTCGGTTGTCAGCTGTTTTTAACTATTTACGCCAACCAGGGACTCCAGCAAGTGTCGTGTGCACTGTTTGTTGAGTGCTTACCAAGTGCAAGGCATTGCACAACTGCGTGCTGCCTATCTCTCCTTAACCCACGCCCACCCCTGGCAGAAAGATGTGTTATTCAGAAAGATCCTTTCCCAGTTTCGTGGGATGTGGGAAGAAATTGTGGTTTCTGTAAATTATACAGATTGCCCCAAGGTCATGGCCCTAGAAGAACAATGGAATCAGGAGTCTCCCCAAATCTCATTGCACAGCTCCTGCTTTTAAATGCTACCCTCTATCAAGCCCAAGTCAAGCACCTGGCAGTGCAAAGTGAAGTGCCCAACCGCTAAGCCAAAGAGGGGGCTCGCCCTCGCCCCCTGCAGAGTGGGAAAAGAGGTCTGCTTCCATAGCGAAGGCCCTTCCATCGCATGGGGGTGCTAATGAGTTGGCAATTGCTTTACAGCGTCTAACACCTTCACCCACTCCCAAAGCCAGGTATAGACCCCATCCCAAACTGCCTCCCGCATGAGCACTTACTCGATTCTCTATGCTGTGTGTCCTTGGACAGACATGAGTACATGGGGCATTTTAGTGGTTGCCGTCTATCTTCTTCACTAGATCCCGCCCTCCTCAAAGGCAGGAGCACTGTGTCACATTTCCACTGCCCAGCCAGGTGTCCGGCGCCAGTGTTTCATGATAAGGACGGAAGTACTTGCCTCCAGAACTGAGCCCCTGTTTACTCCTTCGCCTCTGCGTCTCTCTGTGGTGCTCACCTGCTACCATTCACAGCATGGCCTTTGCAGATACACTTCCCTGCAGCGCTCAGTCGCTTTCTCCGGAGTAAAGGGAGATGAAAGTGTATGGCCTAAAGGCTCAGTCGCTTTCTCCGGAGTAAAGGGAGATGAAAGTGTATGGCCTAAAGCTCCTTTCTCGCTCTAAGATTAAGCCTTCTTGCAAGAAAACGCATGATGCTTTCCAACAGCAAGAAACTTGATAGTTTACAAACACTTCCGTATACCATGTCTCCTCTAATTTCCCCTGACAACCCTGGGATAAAAGCAGGGGAGATAGCATCATCGTTTGACACAGTGACAGGAAACAGAAGCTCACGGAGGTTCAGACTGGAAGAATGGCATCAGGAATGCCTTGTACACGGTAGACCTAACCTTGCCATGTTCTGCACCTTCCCATCTCCATCAAGGACAAAATTGAAATGCCTCCTTTGGATTGTAGGGCACTCTCCAGGATGCACGTTGAAAGAGCTGCACTTTTCCACGGGTTTCCCTGGTAATCGTTGTCAGAGTGATTTGAGATAGGCATGTGCCGTCATTCTTGTTGTCCAACATAGGCTCTAGAAAAGGCTAATGGGTCTGTGACAGTGAGTATCCATTATGTGGAGTGACTCCGGAGTGAGCTGTGCACCCCACAGATTCTACAACTGAGAGAGAGAGAGAGAGAGAGAGAGAGAATGCGACCTAGCACGATTGCCTAAGAATCAGCATAAAGAGAGACCAAGATCAGGTGCATGTTGTATGCGTCAACCCCCATGTGTGTGAATTGATGTGTTTTTCTTTAAAAGAAAGAAAGAAACTGTGTAAATTATATTTCCACCACCCACCTGCCAGTTTGTCAACTGTGGTGGCTTGTGTGTTGGTGTGGAATGCTCTACGCTTTGCCACCGGTATTTCAGATACCAGCATGGCCAATCTTGGTGGACAGGTTTCACTGGTGTTTCCAGACTCAGGCAGACGAGGCAAATAAGCCTGATGGATCTACTTTAGAAAACTGTGCAATGAAAACCAGTTGTAACAGGATACTGCCCACTCTAGTGATGGAAGATGAGCCCCCTCGGTTAGAAGGCACAGCTACGCATGCAGCGGCTGTAACAGGGGCCTTGAGCATATCACAGGCTGTGAAAACTGTACAAGACAGGGCAACGTTTTAGTCTGTTTAACATGGGGTCCTCACGTATGAGAACCAGTGCGGTGTAAAGTAACAGCAGCTTATTATAGAGCAGTGGTTCTCAACCTTCCTAATGCCGCTACCCTTTCATACAGTTCCTCATGTTGTGGTGACCCCCGCCCCCCCAACCATAATATTATTTTCGTTGCTACTTCACAACTGTAATTTTGCTACTGTTAGGAATCGGGAGACCCCTGTGAAAGGGTTGTTCGGCCCCCAAAAGGGTTGCGACCCACAGGTTGAGAACCGCTGTCTCTGTAATATAGAGACAGATAGAGTAAAGGTACTGTGTTTTCAGTGGAAGTTTACACTGCACACAAGTTGTTCTTTGACATTGTTTATATTCCTCACAGTGCATGCATGCTTCATTATTTTTCTTCTGGTTGTTCCATTTTCATTAATTTAGTGTCCTTACTCTTTACATTTTCATTTTTGTTTCTAAATAGCTGTTGACCATTTGGTCTCAGATAAGTCATATTTGAAAGAAGATATATATATATATTCCTCCAAACCATTTTATTGGGAGCTAATACAGATATCATGTTGTTCCAAAGTTAAATCACATCAAGCAGTCTTGTACAATTGCTACCACAATCAGTTTGAAAGCAGTCTTTTTTAACTCGTCGAAGCCTTTCATTGAAACACCCAGAGCCCTTGTTTTATTTGTTGTCTGTAAAGTTTCATCCATCTGGGTATCATATACTGAAGAACATATAGCCAACATTCAAGAGGGTGACCTGGGAAAGATATGTTTGCATGAAGCAGAGCTTATTTTGTGTGGCAGTATATGGATAAACATTGCATACTTTCACCTACAGGTCAGTATGCATCCCAAGCAAGTGCATCGAAGTTTTGCAGGATGTTGTGTTGTTATCTGAAAGGATTTTATGCTTTATTTAGCCCAATACAGAGACTCCACCTACTTCCATAACCTAGCACACTCTGAGAAAGGCAGTCTTTCTTCACGGGGTAAGAAGATTTCACCAGTCGTCTTAGGGAGAATCAGCACACTGCACACTTGTCCCTCATTTCCAGGCACTCCACTGGGGAGCAGGGGCCTCAAAGACCTGGGCAAATGAAGCAGCAGGCTCATGGGAGGAAGCCCCGATTCTCTGCTTCTGACAGGGCTTGTGGAAAACCTCATGGAGCAGTTCTGCTCTGAACACTCATGGGGTCGCCATGGGTCAGAACCCATAAAGGGCAACAAGTAACCTTGACATGCAGGGAACCCTGGCTTCTGGGTGGCACTCAATAGAGATGTCTAAGTGCACAGAGCACCCACTTCACCCAGTCACACAACCTGAGTGGGGAAAGAATCTGCTTTCGTGATCCGTGTCCTCGAATTCTCGGAGGCCTTGGCTCACAACCAGCAAAGGAAACGATTTCAAGCCCGGGAGTGTGCGGAGACGAGCCAGATCCCTAGTGCTGCCTGCCCTCCTTTCAGCTGAAGGCATTGGCCTCGTGGTGACCTGGTGGGTGATGCAGGGGCTCTCCTAACCACAGGTCTGCGGTTTGAACACAGCATCCATTGCCAATGACAACGACGACGCTTTCTGCTCCCGTAAAGGTCCATCCACAGCCTCGGAAACCCACAAGGGCAGTTGTCCCTGTCCAGCGAGGCGGGAATGGTCACAGTGGACTCACTGTCAGGGAAGTTTGCGTTGCTTTAATGCCGGCCGTTCTATTCCCGAGTACAGCTGACGTGCCAGAGACACGCGGTTTTGGTAGCCACGAGTGACTGACGCCTTAATCACAATGGAAAGCGCAGGCTGACTTTACAAGGCTCAGGGAGAGGGACTGAGCCCTCAAAGAAGGCCACTGGGACCCCGGACCAGTTCATCTGTCTGCAGAGGGCGAAGAGGAACGGGGAGCCGTCTTAACAATACTCGCCACTTTGTTACTTTATAGCTGATGTGTTAAAAGAACAAAGCCAAACAGAGCCCTGTTCAACTCTTCTTTTGTTTTCTCTCTTTCTCTCCTTGTCTTTTAAACTATGGCGAGATACAGATGAAAGTTGACGAGGTTCCCCTGTGCCCTTCTCCCAGATTGAGTGAAGCCGCATTAATTCTCCAGCATTACGACTTTTCCTTTGGAGGGGCCGACCTGGAGGCTGACAGTGATATTTCTATGCTTATTAGAGGATGCTGGTTGAGAAACACTGGCAAAAAAGGAATTCTTATATGAAATTATCTCTTTTTTTTTTTTGAAAATGTATTTTCATAGGATTGGATTCTTTATCTGCCCTGTAGTTTTTCATGAACTACATAGATAAATTGAGACCAAAATTGGAAGGATTTTTAAAAAGAACTCTCACTGTTATAAACTTCGTTCAAGTGAACATCCATTAAATGAACATCATGTATCGTGTGTGTATTTGATGTATGAAGGGCATTCCATAAATTCATAGCAACATGGAATGAACAGATGATGGAATTTTCCCATGAACTTTCTGAAGCCCCTCATACGTTCCACATTTTATGTATCCTTCACCTGCTGGCGGGCATCTAGGCGGTTTCTACCGTGGACTGTATGCATAGTGCTGCAGTGGACATTGGTGTACGTGTTTCTGT